CGGCAGCAGGCAGGGGCTGGCAGGGCCAACGCCAATGTGGGGGCTCAGCGCAAGAAATCCTGCGGTGCGGAGAAAGGGAATTGCTCGGGCACCTTCTCCCGGAGCCGGCTGGGCCAGGATGCTGCGGAAAAAGGGGAGAAAAAAAATAACCTAATGAGCTGAACGTCCTCCGACTCTGCTCTCAGGAACTTTGCCAAAGCATCATTGAACTTGTCAGGAAGTATTACAACAAAATTAAGAACCAGCAGCAATTTTCTTGCGTTTGGGATCCTATGCTTTATAAAGTAAATTATTAATGCTTTTTTTTTTCTCCGTTAAGCAGTTATTTGCAGCAGTCTCGGTATATTTCTCATTAGAAATAACATCATCTGAAGAACTTATATTGATTCTTTTTTTTTCTTTTTTTTTTTTTTAATCTCCGAATCATGAACGTGAACAACATATTTCTATGACGTTCCCTTTAACTAGAATTCTCAGCCTTTATTTTTATACTATTGATCTTTTTGACACGAATTGCTTTTTGGCCTTGTGAAAACATTGTGAGCTGCTTCTGCCTTTGGAGGAGTGGGCAAGGGGGTGCGGCAGAAGGAGGGGGGTGGGTGTGCGATGGGTCTGTGCGTGGGTGCGATGGGTTTCTGTGGGTGTGCAATGGGCCTGAGTGTGCAATGGGTCTGTGGGTGTGTGCGATTGGTTTCTGTGGGTGTGCAATGGGTTTGTGTGGATGTGTGATGGGTCTGAGTGTGCAATGGGTTTGTGTGGGTCTGTGATGGGTCTGCGTGTGTGTGATGGGTTTGTGTGGGTGTGCAACGGGGCTGTGGGTGCGTGCAATGGGTTTGTGTGTGCAGTGGGTCTGTGGGCATGTGATGGCTTTGTGCATGTGTGCAGTGGGTTTGTGCACGTGTGTGCAATGGGTCTGTGGGCATGCAATGGGTCTGTGGGTGTGTGGCGGGTCTATGTGGGTGTGTGTGCGATGGGTCTTTGGGTGTGCGATGGGGGTGTGGGTGTGTGATGGGTCTGTGTGGGTGTAATGGGTCTGTGTGGGCGTGCAACGCATTTGTGTGATGGGTTTGTGGGTGTGCGATGGGTCTCTGTGCGTGTGTGGTCTGTGTCCATGTGCAGTAGGTGTGTGTGAGGGGTTTGAGCGTGGGCACCATGGCTTTCTGTGGATGTACGATGGGTTTGTGGGTGTGTGCAGTGGGGCTGTGGGTATGCAGCAGGGCTGTGTGCATGTGATGGATTTGCGGGATGGGTTTGTGGGCATGCGATGGGTTTGTGGGTGCCTGCGATGGATCTGTGCGCGTGTGCAACGGACCTGTCCATGTCCAATGGGTCTGTGGGTGTGTGATGGATCTGTGCACGTGTGTGATGGGTTTAAGGAGTTGGTCGGACATGGGGCACCGGGAAGGCAGCAAAGGACCCTGGCACGAGGTGGGGGGTCCAGCCCCCACCACCCGGAGCTCTCCCTGGGGACAGCGCTCCCTCCCAGGCTCTCCCCCTCGCCCCTCTGCAGCCCTCCCGCTCTCCCTGACTTCTTTACACATCAGCAAAAACAGCGAGGAAAATAGCGAAGGCTTGAATGTATTTTTTCATCAGTCTTCTTCAACATTTGGGGTCTCTGCTGCCGCTTTCTCCCCCGACAGCTGTTCCTCTCCGCTGAAAAAGAGCTCATTTGTTGTTTACTGCCACCAGTATTTAGATGGAAATAACCCACTACTTATCCTGCACTTGATCTCATGGATATAAGAATAAACTCACCGCCGGTGCGATGCAAATCCCGCGCCTTTGGAGAGGAGATGCTCAGACGGTCGGTCCTCGCCGCCGTGCCGGGAGGAGGACCGGCTGTGCCGGGGGAGTTTTACCATTTTGTCAGTCAATTATAATAATATTTCTGCTTCCAAATGTTTAAAAAGTTGGCTTCGGAAGGTATAATCATGGCACAGAGGCCAGCCTGACAATAGTAATTAATTAGGCTATTACGCATTCTACAGTGATAATTGCTTTGCTGGAAAGTCACCAGCCATGAAAAGGACCCGGCGCGTAAATGTAATTTATCACACGGCGGCGATCCCGCGCCGCTGCCGTGCCTCACCTTGAGCCCGTGGATGCTGCAGAGGGAGACGGAGGGAGGGGGGAATAGAAATTAATAGTACATCGATATATAATGCGGAGCCAGAGCTTGCCGCTGGCCGCAGAGGGCTTTGTGGGCGGAGGGAGAGCGGTTGGCAGCGGGTTTGATGTTGGCGGTGGGTTTGCTGTCGCTGATGGGCATCGCGGTGATGGGGGGAGCGGGGACGATGCCATGCTGACCCCGCCAAGCCAGGGCTGCTTGCGGGAATGTTCAGCTCCCCCATTTTTAGCCATTTTCTCCTCTTTTTAGCAGGACACGGGTGATGTCACCCTCTCAGATGGGGGCACAGGGTTTGGTCCCGGCTTCTGCCCCAAGAAAGCAAGGATTTGGGTTTTTTTATTACAAAACCTTGATTTTAGGGATGATTCGGGCTTTTTCTGGGTGTCTGTTCAGCTCTATGTGAGGAATAACAGTGCTTTCAGGGTTGGAGTGAGCTGTCCCCATGCAGGACTCAGAGCTGCTATGGCAGGAATCTCCCCTGGCGTTTTGGTGAATTATCCCCACCTGGAAAAGGTCGCTGAAAATTTTAAATATCTTTCTTTTCACTGACATTTCCTTGAAGTTTAGTGGAAGTCCTAAAGAGTGGAGCGGATGCCTGGCTCACCATCCGTCCGATCAGCCGCACCGGTGATGCCCCAGTACCAACATGGGCTGAAACATGCTGGCCCCGAGCCAGAGCCCAGCGTGGGGGGACGGGGCAGGAACCAGGGCTGATGAAATGGCTCCCAAATGCCTCCTCACCAGCAAACTGGGGGTCCTGGAGCTCCAGTTAAGATGCTGATGGTAGTTAATGGGTGGAAAGGTGTTACATCACGTCCGTGGGTGCTCCCTGAGAAGGTGGGCTGAGTGGCGGGTTGACCCCTCACATGAACCGGGTGGAAAGCTGGATCCGTCCCCGGTGAGCCCGTGGCAGGTGGCCCTGGAGAAGCAAGGTCCACGGGACCATGGTGTGGGGATGCTGCAGGCTCCTGCCGTGGAGGATGATGCTGTCTCAAGGGAGATGAAACTCTTCAGAGCAGCTTGAGCAGGTCCAGGCATCCCCATCGCCCCGCAGCAGAGCTGTGCCGACAGGTTGTGCCCACTCCTGCTCCTCTCCCATGCAAAGTCCGAAGAGTGCGGGAAGTGGGGGGTGTCACACAGGGCTGACGCTGTGGAGCATCCCAGCACTGCCGTGTCTCTGCATCCTTATGGAACCCCCCGGCAGGACTCCCTGTGCCACCCCAATGCCGCATGCCACTGGCGAGTTCTGCAGGCACAACGCTGTCCTGCTGCAATACACCAGCAGTGCCACTCGCTGTCTGCTTGCTGCCTCCCCCCTCTTTTCCCCGTTTTATTATTATTATTTTAAAGCACCCCGAAGCCAAGCGTTTTTGCAGAACGCTGAAGAAAAGCGCCCAAATTCCTCCTCTGCTGGAAACGCAGCACCGAGAAAGTAGGTTTGTGTACAAGACGCTATAAAAAGCCCAGCTTATACAATTTTAACAATAGAAAAATGATCTTTGTGCTCCAGTGCCTGCGAGCTTGGAAGGAGAAGGCGGTTTGCTCAGGTGGCTGCTGGATTACAAATGAGTGGTTTGCTTTGGGTTTGAATGACAAGCAACCGCAATCCAGGCTGGTGGGGCGAGCCAGGAGCTCTGCCGGCACAGAGGGAATGGGCGGAGGGAAAAGATGCTCCGGTGTGGGGGCTGCCACCGGGCTGAGGCACGAAGTTCGGGCTTTGTTTGATAATTAGCTCTTCGGTGGCTTAAGAGTGGTTTAATTGACTAGTCCACTGTTGGTAATAGCATGTCTGCCAGCACTGAATGCCAGGCGGGCACCACTTCCTCCATCACTGGATGGTGTGGGCGCCCAGTTTGGATCAAACTGGGCATTTTCCAGCTGGGAATGGGTCACCGCCATCCCCTGTCTCCTGTGCCCGGGGTGGCAGGGACACGGAGATCCATGTGTCCCACTGGCACCCCATCCCATCCACTGCAGGTGGGGCTAGACGTGCAGGGTTAGCAAGGGGACCCTTGGCAAAGTAAGTGCACCGGCGCCTGGTGGGCAGCCGGCCCACCCCGAGGTGTCGTCAAGCCTTGAAAAATTAAGGGGAGTAAATGATTCATGCTCATAAATGTTGGATGGGAGTGCGCGGCAGATTAATATGTTGTTCAGTTATTAGCAATGCAGCATGCCATCTCCTCACCACCCAGCCGGCGCGAGTGTCTCTGGCACCCCAGCACCCTGGCAGCTGAGGGGGACGGGGATGGGGACGGGGATGGGGACACGAGCAAGAGGAGATGTCCCGGTCCCAGCACGAGCATCGCTTCTGCCCCTGGCATCATACTGGGAGGGTGGCTGGAGAGGGCTGTGTGCCGGATCCAGCCCGGCGAGCACAACAACAGGCAGGCTTCTTTATTTCTTATTTAAGCACTGACATTAAATTATAATTTTCATTTACTCAGAGCACATCAATGATTTAGGGCGACGTGACATGGCAGCGGCGCGAGGAGTTTAGCCAAAGGCAGTGAGCGGCTGCATGGGGTGCAGAGCGGGCGCAGAGCCGTGCCGGGGGGTACTTGTGTGCCGGTCATGGGTGGCACTGGTCCCAGTGGCCTGGCAGTGCTGGTTCCCTCCTCCAAGCCTGTCTCTGACCCCCTTTTTCCATCTCCCTGCAGGTGATTGCACTTAGTAAGAGAAGCAAGGAGGCTGAGACGGCTTTCCTGAGCGTTTACAAGCAATTAATCGAAGCTCCAGGTAAGCAACGCGGTGGCGACCTGGCTGCCTAACGAGTCGCGTGCCGGCACCGGTGCTGAGAGGAGCCAGCGAGGACCACGGCAGCGCTGCCGGCCCTGTCCCCGGTGCAGCTGGCGTCGCCAACCTCCGCTTGCGCATGGTGCTCTGGAGATACCAGCCGAAGAGAGGAGTGGAAACAGCTTTTGCCATCGCTGTGTTTCAGCCCCTGAGCCAAATGCATCTTGACATTAGGAAAGGAATACATTTGCTCAGCCCTTGTAATAACACTGCGGCTATCCCCAGTTGCCTTTTTGACGGTAAGTTAACTGAAACGACTGAGAGCCGGCTCGCAGTACTGCTCCTGGCACCGGCTGCAGCTCAGGGATGGCTTTCCCCGTTTCACCGCCGTGCCAGGATGTACCCCCTGTCCGGGCTGCCGCTCAAAGTCTTGGGGGGGGTGGAAACTGAGGCACGGGGCAGCCCTGAGGCTTGTGTTGGCAGGGTCGGTGCTAGGGCCAGGTGAGGGGGCTGGGACTCCCCTCCCCGCCGTGGGCTCTGCCGTGCTCTGAGCCAGGGGGGTCCGGGCACGGCGGCACGGAGCATCCCCTGGCACGGCGAGGACAGAGAGCTGCGAACGGCTGAAGATGCGCAGAAGGGCTCCTGCAGGGCCACTAATTCATTTTCCAGACATTTAGGAATAACAAAATGTTTTAATGATTTCTTAGGGGAATTAGGGAGACATATTTTTGTCCTCATTAAATTTTCTCCTGTGCTACAAGAACCAAATGTCAGCTTGGTTTCCAGAACCCAGTTATCTTCCCTCGCCACCTCCCCACGCTCACCTGCCCTGCTCCTCCTGCTTGCACACGTGTGCACATGCATGCACATGGATGCACACACACACACGCAGATGCATACACACGCACGCAGATGCACACACATGCACACCCCAAAACTGCTACCTTATGGTTTCTACACCCTTCCTCCTCCTCCTCCTCCTCCACCCCTCTCTCTGCTCTCCCGCAGCATCCATGTCTTTCTCCCCTCTCCCCTCCTGCTCCCCAAATCCTCCCACCCGTCGTTTTGTCCCCGTCTGTTACATGTCCGTGTGTCTCTCGACAGGCGAACTCTTTGTGGAATACTTTACAAGCGCCACATAAGTCCTGATTCGACATTTTTTGCTTTGAATGGCTGCTGTCAACACAAATCTCTGGCAGAGACTGTAACGGAGCCTGATTGCTCAGCAAGTATTTTGATAAGTGAGCTGGCTGTGTGTCTGTAATTACGGGAGAAAACCGTAAATCTTTTGGATATTGTTCACACAGATGTGGCGTGAAGGGAAGGGGGGGAAGCAGTAAAATGTGTTAAAAGCATAATTAATGTCATTGTTGTTAGGGATGATTTGATTTAAGGCTGACTTTAACTCGTGGAGGGATTCGTAGGGCACTGGTGGATGTGTTTGAGCAGGTTGGGATGGGGTGGCGAAGGAGGCGCTGCCCCAGTGGCAGAGGTGACAGAGGTACCATGAATGCACCGCGCATGCACCGTGGATGCACCACAGATGCACCGTGGGTGCACCATGGGTGTACCGTGGGTGCCCGGTGCTCCTCTTGGACCCAGACAGCAGCATGGAGCAAATGTCACCCTTCAGCCCCCAGCACAGAGACCTCTGCTGAAGGCCAGGTCAAGTGGCCGGGCCCTGGCACAGGGATGAGCTGCTGGTCCCCAGGGACACGGGTGCTCCCTGGAGCTGTGCATGCTCAGGAGATGGTGAGCACCCAGGATGCCTCCTGCCCCATCCCGCCATCCCACAGGTGCCTCGAGCTGCTCCAGTGGCCGCACGGCAGCTGCGTGGTGCTGCGGTGGGGGTATCTGGGAGCGGGTCTGCCAGCGACCCAGACCCCCTCCAGCATGGGGAAAGGCCCCTGGTCCTGCTCCCCATGCCAGGGCTGGGGACACCGGGAAGGATCCCTACCCACCCACCCGTCCCTGCTGCAGCACAGCCGGTGCCACTAAAGGACAGCCAATAACGCCAGCTAGTGGCAGCACTTATTATATATATATTATATATATATAAAAATTGTGTATATATAGTGGGCAAATGTATGAAGCCGGATAGATAAGCATGCCTGGGCAGCGGTTTCTGCTTTGCAGTAGGGACTTGCTGTTCCTCCCGTGAGCTGGCTGTGCCGTAGTCGGTGGGTGATGCCATGCTGCGGCCCCTGGGCTTGCAGGAGCTGCTGCAGGCAGATGCAGCGCCGGAGCGTGCGGCACCCCGAGGTCCTGTTTTGGCACATGCCTCTCTCCCATCACCCGTCACCTGGCTATGCCGCCGGTGAGTCACTGCCGTGGTGGGGCTCGCAGCTGCACGGCCACTCGGCTGCGGCGTCAGTGCCGTCTCCCTCTAACCGATGGGGGCCATGACCCACGCAGGGGGGACTATTCCCTGCGCCATGGACAGTGTCCCGAGTCCTCCCATGTGGCTCAGGGTGTGACAGCACGTGCCATCCCCCGTGCCTTGGTGTGAGCAGATGATGCGCTTGGTTTTGAGGGCTTCCCCTCTCCAGCCCTGCAGCAGGAGGGTTTGTTCGCTGGCAGCAAGAGCACTGCACGAGCATGCGTGAACATGGTGCGAGATTGGTGCAAGAATGGTGCGAGCGTGGCACGAGCTTGGTGCCCGGTCCCGGCAGTCCCTTGGTGCATCCAAACACCTTGCATGCGGTGGCAGAGCCGGCCCTGCAGCCAAGGACAGCACTTTCCCGGTGGCTGGACGGTGTGATATTAGCACAATGTAATTAATCCAGCCAGGCATTTTGCATCAGTGCTGCCCCAGCTGACACAGGGAGCAGAGCTGAAGTGCCCCTTGCTCCTTTTCCTTCTAAAAGCTCCACTCCCGACCGCTTCGTCCCGGGATGTCAGCTCCAAACGGAGAGCTGTGTGCTGGGGGATCGCGCCAGCTGTATTTCAGCAGCGGGGCTGTGACTCGTGGGAGGGGAAATACTGACCTGAGGAAAATCCCCAGAGCTTTATCACTCAGGCCAGTTCCTCCCATACTATTTCTCATCACGGGGGGTGAGAGGAGTTGCCGGTGCGGATCGGATGGGTCCTGCCCCGGAGTTTATCCCTGTGGAGGCGGCTTGCAGGCTGGCGTGGAGCCACCGGGGCTAGGGGAGTGCGAGGGGGGACCCCTGGCTCCTGCTGCCTGTGAGCTGGGGCCATGGAGCACAGGGTTTAATTAGCCGTATCGTTATCTCAGCTCATGTACTTATGGGTGTTATTAATGGCTGTGAGAGCATCCAGTCCAGTTTGGGGCTGTGCTGCATCGCCGCAACCCCCTTTAATGGCACGCTCCCCCATCCTTGGATGGCGAACTTGCCCGAAGGATGCTGAGCTGTGGCTCCAGCACTGGCCAAACACCACGAGCAGCCTGGGAGGGTCCCAGCCGAAGCTGAGTGCCCCTTTCAGTGCCAAAGCTGGCAGCGTGCTGGCAGGGCTCAGCACCCACCTCTGGATGTGTCCCCCATGGCTGGGATCTGGGCACAAACCTTTTATCCTGGCGTGTCCGTGAGATCTCTGTGATGTCCAGCGGAAACAAGGGGGGTTGTTCCCTGCGGAGAAGGATGCTCCAGGGGCTTTCGGCATTAGCACGCGGGGTCTGGCAGTCACTGGTCCTGTGGGGAAGCCGCATGGTGGACACCGTGGTGGAGACCTGCACCCCATGGCCACAATGCTGTGGGATGGGAGGGCAGCGGCAGGTTGGTGGGACTCCCGAACCCCATCTTGGGGGGCACACGTCTTGGCTTTGGTGATTTGCAAGGAGCATCCATGCTGGGCACTTGCAGTGAGAATCACAGGCCAAATCCTGCGTCTTTCAGCCAGGTTCACCCCAAAGACACCTGGTGCTGCGGTTGGGCTGTGCCAGCGCAGCCCCAGACCACCCCAAATCCAGCAGCGGGGCTGTGGTGGCAGCGCACCCCGTTCATCCCGCACTGCTGCTGTCTCAGCCGGGGACTCGCTGAGCAGAAGAGCTGCTCTGCATCCCATTCAGAGCGGAGGCAGCCAGTTCTTTGATTTTTTTTCCATCACTGTTATTATTTTTTACCCTTGGATGCTTGCCACGTGTCTGTGCCGTACAGTAGCGCGCCCGGCTCCGTCCCACTTCCCTGTTTGTCTAACTTTTTGACCCTGGAGAATTCAAATCTATTTTATTTCCTCTTCTTTTCTAAAAAAAAAACCCCAAACCTATATTAACCTGGCTCAATAGGAGGCATTTTCTTGAACTTATTAAAAAATCCAGACTTGTAAATTAATTTGTTCATGTTGTACAATGGCAGTGCAGATGGACTCATTAGCATGCACACAACAAATAATTATAGATGAATTTTTAGCTGGCCTGCTTAATGGGCTTGCTGGGTTAATTATGTCAATGTATAATTACATCAGCCCTGGGAGACATAATGGCACACCCTGCTGAGCAGACACTAGCTAATGATGGTGTAATGCTGACAGAGGGAAGACGGACGGCTCTGAATGCACCTGCTTACCTCGGCACAAACCGCCATTGTCTGCGCCCAAACGGGCCGGCACCGGGGCCACCAGTGCTTCGGGTGCCACCGGCTCGCTCGGGGAGGTGATGCCCCTGTGCAGCCCTGCTGGTCCCCACGTGATGGAAAGCGTGGGACCGAGGGGTGTCCTCATGGCACCTGGCACCCCATGGGGTGCCCCGGGGCTGGGAGGGCACCCACTCTGGTTTTAAGAAGGGTGCAGAGGGTGGCTGCCCTGGGGTGGGCGGCAATGAGGGTGGGCAGTGGGTCCCCGGGGAGGTGGGAGAGGGCTGGTGGCGGGTATCTCTGCCGCTCACCGCTGCGTCCTGTGTCCCGCAGACCCTGCTCCTGTGCTGGAGGCTGCCCGGAGCCTGGAGGACCGGCTGCAGCAGCTCCAGCGCCTCGAGCCTGAACCGGCCTCCCTGAAGGACATCAGCCGCCCCTGGAAGAAGCACCTGGAGCTCGTCGGCACCAAAGGTACCCTCCGACGCCGGCTGCCCGGTCGGACGAGGGTGGCAGTGTCGGCCCCCCACCGGGTCCCCCCACATGCCTCTGAGCATCCCCGGGACACGGAGGGGAGTCCTCAGGGCTGGGACCTGGCCTGTGGTCCCCAGCGGCCACCGCTGCTGTCCCCTACGCAGCTGTGTGAAATGTGTCCCCCCCGCAGAGCGCAGAGAGGGGACGTCACCAGCAGCCGGGCTCGCGGCAGCGGCTGAGCCCCCGCTCTCCAGTGTTGACGGCAAAGGACTGTGCGCAGAAACCTTGCTGCAGAGAAATGAGGCAGAAAAGCAAAAGTACGTGAGTACCGGGAATGGGGTCATTTTGGGGTGCTGCGGGAACGTGTGGCTCTGTCCGTGCTCGCACACAGCGGTGTCCATCTGTCCTTCCCTCTCCTGCCCTTTGCACCTCCTTTGCTGTCTGGGTTGAGAGCGGATGCATCCTGTCCAGAAACGTGATACACAGTCTTGGGTGCTCTGAGTATCCATCTGTCCATCCATTCTCTATCCCAGGCAGTTTTTGGGCAGCAGCAGGCGTGGGCAGAGCCGGGGCAGGTCCCTCCTGCCGGCCCCTCATGCCGTCTGCCTGGCACGTGGCTTTGTTCGGACAAATGGGTTAAATCCAGGTCGGTGGATGAACCTCATTAAATGGCCTTTTAATTTGGAGGCTCCTGGCTTTCTCGGTGCCTTCATTGTTATTCCTTAACACGCTGCACGGGGAAACAAATGAAGAATCTTTAAACCCTAAATTGCAGATCTCTGCGAGTAAGTTCCTGGCAAGTGCAGGCTATAAATAATGCAGAATAACTTTTCCCTGATTGCTTCCCCCCCCTCCAATTAATTACAGGCAGGGGTGGGCTGCCATCCCCCCCATCAGAGGGGTTTCAGCGGCAGGGATCAGGGACCATTTTCATCTCAAAGTGAATTTTTTTACACCTGGGGCAATACACCCCTTAACATCAGGGCATAACATGGCTCGAACACATCCTGGCATCCACCAGCGGGTCTTTCCCCGGCATCTCCGAGCGATGGGGTAGAGGAGGGGACGCAGCGAAGGGCTCTCCGTGCGCCCTTGGGGGGCTGCAGCTTCGGCACGGCCGCGGTGACACCGGCACGTCGCTGATGCCCGTCTCTCGCAGGGGGCTGCAGGAAGCACAGGTCACTTTGGCTGCTCGGCTGGGAGAGGCAGAGGAGAAGATCAAAGTGCTCCACGCAGGTAGGGGGGCTGGGGCAGGGGCCGCTGGCCACGGGGGGCCAAACTCCCACCCTGTGGCTCACCCTTCTCTTCCTCTTCCCAGCGCTGAAGGCCACCCAGACGGAGTTGCTGGAGCTGCGTTGTAAATACGACGAGGAAGCCGCGTCCAAGTAAGTCGCCGGTGATGCCTGGTCGTGCCTGGAGGCCATTGGCATGCCCAAGGCTGAGCCGAGCCGCCTGCCGCAGTGCCAGGACGTCCCCATGGTGCTGCTAAATGACTTGAGGAGCTGAGATACTTTAAGCGACCGCAGGAGCATCCCAAGTCGTCAGGGCTCCCTGTGACTGAGACGCCTTGTCCGCAGCACAGGCAGAGCCCTTGCCGGCCATGGAGGGCTGCGTCCGTGCCTCCACGCCAACTGACACCTCTTGCTTTCTCATCACAGGGCAGATGAAGTAGCCATGATCATGACGAACCTCGAAAAAGCCAACCAGGTGAGCCGAGAGCCGACTTTCCAGCCATTGCAGGGCACATACCCTGCTCCCCCTCTGCTGTGCTCAGCTGTGGCCCCCCAGCCACTGCACCCACCACAGCACCCTGAGCATCCATGTGGCCTGCATGTCTGTCCCTGAAAATGGTACGGGGCAGCGAGGCTCTGGGACTGGGAAGCCCTGTGAAGGGAGGCTCTGGTTTCCTTCACCCAGCAGCTCCTTCGAACCAGCCCGACGGGACCCCCTGCCCCATGTCGAAGGTCACTGGTGTGTTGGGGCTCCCACTGGGCTCTGCTTCAGCTGCTGGAGCCGGTGTTTGTCACCTCCAGCCTCTCCCGGGTGTTTCAGGGCACGACCCGCACCAGCCTGGTGTTGGTTTCTGGCATAATTACTTCTGGTCCTATCCATTCCTATTCATTAGGTTTATTTAATTCTGAAAACGTAGATACAAATAAATGCACGTGGATAATAAAAGAGGCTTAAAGAGCGATTTGCATGTAAATATGGCCTTTTGGGTGGACAAAAGGCAGTGTCCTGGAGGTGGGCTGCAGCCAGTGCCCAGGGTTCAGGACTGGGAACCGTGTAAGGATGTGGAGAGCCAAAATACATTGAGGGGGGCTTATGGTGACGGTGGTGGGAACAGGATGCTCGGGAGAGGCGTGGGTCGGTGCAGATCCTGGGGCCCCACTCTGCCCTGTGTGGGGTGGGATGAGCAACGGGTGCCCGGCCTGACGCGCTTTCTGCTCTCTTGCAGCGAGCGGAGGCGGCGCAGAGGGAGGTGGAGAGCTTGCGGGAGCAGCTGGCAGCCGTGAATAGCTCCCTCCGCCTGGCCTGCTGCTCCCCACCAGGCACTGCCGGGGTGAGAGCACCCCTCGGGGCCAGCAGCACCCCATCGCAGCTGGCCGCACCCCATCACGGCTGGGAACATCTGTCACAGTCAGGAGTATCCCGTTGCACTTGGGAGCATCCCTGTCATAGCTAGGAGCACCTCTCCGCATTCAGGAGCACCCTACTGTGTTCAGGAGCATCCCATCGCGCTTAGGAGCACGCCATTGCATTCAGGAGCACCCTTTTGCATTTGGGAGCACCCACCATATTCGGGAGCAAGCCCAAAATGCCCGTGACTGAGGCGGTTTTCCACCATGGGGTAGTAGCGTTGGCCATGCCCTACCTGCAGCCCCAGCCTCCTATGGGGAGGGAGACGTGCACCCCCATAGCACTGAACAGGCGTACCTGGGAGACCTGTAAGGGGAGAGGAAAGCTCTGTTCCTCCTCAGGGCTGTGTCACCCTGGGTCCCCATCCCGCGGGCTGAGGCCTGGGCTCACCTGCTCCCTGTGGGGACGTGTCTGACGGGGAGGGTGGCCCTTGTCCCCGCATTGCGTGGCCGGGACCTGACGGTGTCCCCTCTCCCGGCAGGACAAAGTGAACTATTCCATGTGCTCAGGGTCGAGGCTGGAGGCGGCTCTGGCTGCCAAGGACCGGGAGATCCTGCGGCTCCTGAAGGATGTCCAGCACCTCCAGAGCTCTCTGCAGGAGCTGGAAGAGTCCTCTGCTAACCAGATCGCCGAGCTGGAGGGGCAGCTGGCCGCCAAGAACGAAGCCATTGAGGTGTGCCCATGGGGGCTAGGGGCTTGCGAGGGAGGGTTGGGTGTGGGTCCGGCTGTGCCGGGCGTGCACCGGGAGCCAGCTGCAAGGACTCCCCCGCTCTGCTCCGCAGAAGCTGGAGGAGAAGCTGCAAGCACAGGCGGACTACGAGGAGATCAAAACGGAGCTGAGGTATGGCTTGACGTGCATCCACGCCTGCCACCGGCACCCACGGCACGCTTCAGCAGCCGTAACGCTTGGCGGCTTGACGGCAGCAAAAAGCCATGCCCGCCGAGTCACCCCCCCTTCTCTCCCTCGCAGCATCCTGAAGGCGATGAAGGTGGCCTCCGCCAGCTGCAGCCTTCCCCAGGCAAGTGCCGCGGCGCGTGCCGACATGCTCGCAGGGCTGTGGCGCGCGTGCCAGCCCTGCCACCGGTGGCTCTGCCGCCCTTTCCCATCTCGGCTTGGCTCCTTGCAGAGCATATCGAAGGCAGAGGAGGCCCTGCTGCTGGGGAAGGAGGCTTTCTACCCCTCCCAGAAGTACCTGCTGGAGAAGCCCAGCCTCCTGGCCAGCACTGGTAGGGTCCCCGGGTCCCGCGGCATCCCCGGTCCCACCAGGAGCATCCCTGGGAACGTGGGTGGCAGGGCCGTATCCTGCCCTGGCTGTGGGAAGGAGCCTGGAGCCAGCAGCGGGGCAGGGGGAGGACAGGGGGTGGGAATACCACCTGGGGAAACTGAGGCAGGAGATGCTTTGCTGCGGGGCTGCGCCGGGGCTGCTGGCTGGGGCGACTCTAGTGCATCTCCCTCTCTCTTGTTCATCTCTAGAGGAGGATCACTCCGAAGACGAGTCGGGGAAGGATTCACTGGGCGTGGAGCAGCCGTACCCATCCCCCCAGCATGCCCCAGCGGACGAACCTGCCTCCCCCACTCCCCTCCCGCCTCTGCCTGGCCCCGGCCTGGCCCCCGACGGCCCCCGGACTTTCTCCCTGTCGCCCTTCCCGGGGGGTGAGCGGCTTTCAGGGGACCCCAAGGCCCCCCACCTCCCGCCGCCCGCTTACAAGAGCGAGAGTGCCGGGGGGGGGCCGCCTTTCCCCTCCACCTTCTTCGGAGCCAAAAGCACCACCGTGCCCCCCGGCACTGTGCCAGCTGCCAGCGCCGCCAGCCCGCCCAGCGAGCCGACCGAGGGCAACGCCGGCAGCTCTGCCGACGAGGAACAGCTGGACACGGCCGAAATCGCCTTCCAGGTGAAGGAGCAGCTGCTGAAGCACAACATCGGGCAGCGGGTCTTTGGGCATTACGTGCTGGGGCTGTCACAGGGCTCCGTCAGTGAGATCCTGGCCCGGCCCAAGCCCTGGCGCAAGCTGACGGTGAAGGGCAAGGAGCCGTTCATCAAGATGAAGCAGTTCCTCTCTGACGAGCAGAATGTGCTGGCCCTGAGGACTATCCAGGTGCGCCAGAGAGGTGAGTGGTTGGGGTAGCCCTGGCCGACAGGTCCTACCCTGGGATGCTGCAAGCGGTGCCGTGGGATCCCTTCCCGATACACCCCGGTTCACCCCAGCAGCACCCCGGGGTGCCCCATGCCACGGCAGGGGTGCCCGCCAGCCCACGATGTGCTGGCAAGACAGGCAGGGACACATGCGGAGTCACCGGCGGTGCTCAGGGATTGTCCCTGGTGGTCCTCCGGCTTGCCACGGTGTGGGATGGAACCGGCCACCGGGTGGGATGGAGTCCTGGCAAATGGTAGCAATTAACAACAACCCATCATCATGGAAGCTGCATCCCCAGACGTGCTTTATTCATTTATTCTGACAAGTGCCATTTAATTATTCATTAGGCTGTTCCGTGGCATATGAATCAATGTGCTCGGGAATATTTCGTTAAAATAATGAAGTCTTAATGCTGCAGGACCTCGGCGCGGTGTCGGCACCACCATGAAATGGTAATGCCCGGCTCTGGGGATGGCGGCTCCTGGCCCCGTCTCAGTCGTGGCAGCAGTGGTGGCTGGTCACTCAGGTCCCTGCGGTGGCACAGGGACCGGGCAATGCAGGTCCATGGTCCGTGCATCTGCTGGCGTTTCAACCCGGAGGGCTCTGGTTTATCCCCTGGATCCGATCCAGCATTAACCCTTTGCTTGCACAGCCAGGAGGACACAGTGCCAGGGATGGCGGACATGGTCCCCGTGCCTGTGTCTCCGCTCAGCACCCTGTGCGCCGGCGTGGAGCGGGTGCCCTTGGATGGGGTGAGCAAGGTGGCCAGGAGATGCCATGCCGGAGGCAAGAGCTGGCAGTGGGGGCTACCGGGGCTCCCCACGCTCCAGCTAGCGACTAATCGGGAGTGACATTTGTCTTAAAACCAGCATCTCTAAAAATAGTTGAACATGCAGAGCAGTAAATACTTCCTGACATACAAGTGAAGCTTGTAAAACCAGCACCGGTGACAAAGCTGTTATCCTGCCTCTTTGATCAGGTAGCATCACGCCGCGGATCAGGACGCCGGAGACCGGCTCTGATGACGCTATCAAAAGCATCCTGGAGCAGGCGAAGAAGGAGATAGAGTCGCAGAAGGGAGGTAGGTCCTGGTGTTTGGGTGGCCCTGGGAGTGGCTGAGTCCCTGCTCTGCCCCCGTGGGAGCAGCACTCAGAGGGGTGCTGGTGGCTGGGTGCTGCATGGCTGCGCATCCCACAGCATGCCAAAACACCTGCAAAACTGGTAGCGTCTGGCACAGGGAATCTCTGCCTCCCCTAGGAAACCTTAGCCAGCCCCTGCCAAGCCTGGCACTCATGGCACATGTCCTGGGTGGGGTGGCACTGGGTGCCTGGCACCAGGCTAACCCCATGGCTGGGGCAAAATGAGCTTTATTTGGCATTTCTCCCACTGACATCCATAGAGATTTGGGGCATGGTGGGAAGAAATGCTGGTAAATACTGTTAGGAACGGAAGACTCTCCATGCAGCGGTGTTTGTACCTGGGCTTTCAGAAACTTTGGACCTACTCTTTCATCCCCCTCTGCTCCAAAACAGATGATTAAATGAGGATGCGCGATCCATCTGGCACGAGGAATCATTAAAGCAGCTGCGCTCGCAGTCAATTACAAGAAATGAAATACATTAAAACAGGTAGTCTGCTGAGAAAGCAGAATCCCAGAGAATTAAATTAGACAGGAACGGTGGAAAAACAGACAGGGCAAACAAACATGTTTGTCTATTGCCATCGTTGGTAATGGGATTTATTTTGCAATCGTCAAAAAAGAAGCTCGCTTTGAGCTGGGGGTGTCGCAGCTTTTGCTTTGTGGGTGCTGCTGGTCCTTCTTCTGAACTGCAGCCATGTGGGGCATCGGCCTGATGGAGAGTGCTCTGAACCAAGTTGGGGTAAAATCCCTTTTTTCCTGCATTTTGAATTATGGCCACATGGTAAAATGATGCATGCTGCGCCTTGGGGCTCCCCTCAGCCCTTTTCCTTGCAGGGGAACCCAAAACGCCGTCGGCGTCACAGGCGGTGGCCAACGGGGCCGGCGGCAGCAGCTCGGAGGACGCCATCAAAAGCATCCTGGAGCAGGCGCGGCGGGAGATGCAGGCACAGCAGCAGGCATTGCTGGAGATGGAGTCAGGGGGCAGCGGGCGCCCCGGGGACACGCCGCCCGCCGAGCGCTCCACGCTGGCCGCCGTCAACCAGAACATTGTCCCGACCTATGTCAAGCAGGAGGAGGGGAGCGGGGCCAGCCCCGGCCCTCCCCAGACGCCTCTGGCTGTCCTCTCGCCAGCCGCCTTCGTCCAGAGCATCATCCGGAAAGTGAAGTCGGAGATCGGTGACGCTGGCTCCTACTTTGACCAGCACTGGGCATCGGAGCGGAGCCTGCTCAGCCGACCCTACACTTCTGTTTCGCCTTCGCTTTCCTCCTCCTCCTCGAGCTACTCCAGCATGGCCAATGGCCGGGGCTGGCCGCGGGGTGAGCCCGGCGAGGGTGGTGCTAATGAGGATGAACTGCCGCCGGCAGACGATGAGCCCCACCGGCTGACAGAGATGAAGGCGGAGGGAGCCAGCACAGAGCCGGCAGCTGGCGGTCGTCTCTCCTACTATCCCGCCTACGTGCCACGGACCCTGAAGCCCACTGTGCCGCCGCTGACACCGGAGCAGTACGAGATGTACATGTACAGGGAGGTGGACACACTGGAGCTGACCCGGCAGGTCAAGGAGAAGTTGGCCAAGAACGGCATCTGCCAGAGGATCTTTGGAGAGAAGGTAGCAGCCTGGAGAAGGGGGGGGTCTGGTGTCCCCTCCACTCCATGACCCAGAGCCCGGGGCTCATTGGTGGCCTCCGCCAGCTCCTTCCAGGGTCCCCGCTCTCCCCAGTGGGTTTCCCCTTGGAGGATGCTGAGTCCTCAGGGTCTGACCCAACCCCAAGCAGTCTCCCAGTGGCCGCCACCAACTGGTTGGTGGCACTTCCCACCAGGAACGCCCTGTGCCCCGTGCAGAGCCCTGTAGGGACCATCCTCCCAGCCCCCTGGGTATCCCAGAGGGACCTACCAAGGTCCCAGCACTCATGGCTGGGGCCAAGGGGTCCGGACATGCTGTGGGGCCGTGAACGCAGCAGCGGGTGGCAGCTTGCTTCCCCTCCTTCGACGTGGGGACGGAGGGCAGGCAGCAGCCCGATGCCGGGGGGAGCACGCCCCAGCCCCGGTGGGTGACACCTGCGTGGTGCCTAGGTGCTGGGACTGTCCCAGGGCAGTGTGAGCGACATGCTGTCGCGGCCCAAGCCGTGGAGCAAGCTGACGCAGAAGGGTCGGGAGCCCTTCATCCGCATGCAGCTCTGGCTGACCGACCAGCTGGGCCAAGGCATCAGCCAGCAACCGACACCCTCCCAGGGTAAGTGCCGCCACCGTCCCCGCGGTCCCCATGTGCCATCAGTGCCTCCAGCAATTCTACATCCATCCCCGCATGCCGGCACAGGGAAAGTTTGTCCTGCTCCCACTCCAGCACCAGGGAGAGGTGCCCCCACCACCCCCAGCACCCCCACCTGCACCCCAATCCTGGGAAGCCCCTTTCATCCCCCTCACCTCTGATGCATCCAACCCATTTTGAACCCCCTTAATTAGTCACTTAGACAATTTAGAGCTGTTATAGAGATCCTCAAATGTTACTTTGTCATAAACGAGCTTTGAAAGTCATCTAGTTTAAAAAAAAAAAAGGAAAACCACAAGAAAAATCTGTGGCTTTGTGCCTGGCATAAAGTAGTAACTGTTTTTGTCTTTATATTAGTGGTGTTTTCTCTCTTTAATTATTCCACCGGCAACTCCTGCTTTGCCGTAGCTGCCGGAGGGACTCAGCCGGCATCCCCCCTCTCCAGAGGGCAGAGCCGCAGGCATCCCCAAAATAACCTTCCCGCTCTCACCGGGTCCCTGCCACTCTCCCCTTCCGCCGATCCCCACTGACCCCTCTGCCCCGGTGTTGTGCAGCCAGCCCGGTGGAGCCCCAGCCATCCCCCTCGCCGCCCCCCAGCCCCGCCGAGCACGAGAAGGGCTGCCAGGAGCCCCTCACCCTGGCCTTGGAGAGCAGCAAGGAGAACCAGCAGCCCGAGAGCCGGTCGACACCTGTGCTGGGTGGGAAGACATACCCCAACAGCCAGGGACCCGTGGGCATCCAGGAGATTGTTGCCATGTCCCCTGAGCTGGACACCTACTCCATCACCAAGAAGGTCAAGGAGGTCTTGACGGACAACAATTTAGGTGCGGACCCTCTCTCCGCCTGGGTTTTCGGGAGCTGCTGGTGAGGCTGCATGGATGCATCACCCCAATTCCCGTAGCCACAGCCCCCCCTCCGCCGGTTCGCTGCAGGTGCTTGGGGGGATCCCAGCACGCTGGGGAGGATGCTGGCCGGGAAATGGGGTGCACCCGCTCTGCGGGGGGACTGTAGAACCCACCCTGCTGCTCTGCCCTGCTCTAACCACCTCTGCTTCTCCTCCGCCAGGCCAGCGGCTGTTCGGGGAGAGCATCCTGGGCCTGACGCAGGGCTCGGTGTCCGATCTCCTCTCCAGGCCCAAGCCGTGGCACAAGCTGAGCCTGAAGGGGAGGGAGCCCTTCGTCCGCATGCAGCTCTGGCTCAATGACCCCCACAACGTGGAGAAGCTGCGTGACATGAAGAAGCTGGAGAAGAAAGGTGAGGGTCAGGGCGATGCAGCCTCGCCGGGTCTGGGGTGCTGGCCAAGTGGGGGGCTCCCCGGGGCTGGGGAGCGAGCAGCGCGCAGCTGGGTCTCCTCTCCTGCAGCCTACCTGAAACGTCGGTATGGGCTGATGAGCGCTGGCTCGGACAGCGAGTCCCCCAGCACCCGCTCCGAGTGTGCCAGCCCCAGCCTGCAGCCGCAGGACCTCAGCCTCCTCCAGATCAAGAAGCCGCGAGTGGTGCTGGCCCCGGAGGAGAAGGAAGCCCTGAAGAAAGCCTATCAGCTGGAGCCCTACCCCTCCCAGCAGACCATCGAGCTGCTCTCCTTCCAGCTCAACCTCAAGACCAACACCGTCATCAACTGGTTCCACAACTACAGGTAAGGGCGCTCCAGGGCTTCGGACGTCTGATTGTGCTGTGCCACCAAGGTGGTGTCACTGTTCTTCCAGCCCTCCCAGTCCCTCTTGCCTAGATGGGGAGGTGCAGACCCACTCGTGGTCACTGGAGGTCCCCAGGTGCAGGACTGTAGCCGAAATGCTGCATGTGCCCTGGCTGGCGGGTGATCAAGAACTGTTGACCAGCTTGACCAAGTCATGTTGAGCAGGTTACCACGCTCATGTTCACCTGCTCACCGGTGTGGGACACCGCTCACCAGTGAGCAGGAGCTCCCTGTCGGGTGGAGGAAAGCCTTACGGAGGCTCCTGGAGCACAGGATCCATCCCCATAGCAGCCCAGCCCCAGGGAGCAGCACGGGCTTCATCCTCAGGCATTATTGCAGGTGGACACGTGGCTCCTGAATACTCCCCAGACCCACACCAAGAGCTGCCTGCTCTCAGAGTCAACAGCCCAGGTGATGGGTTGTGCCCTTCCCGCTATATAAACCAGTATAAAAAGACATGTGAGTGCTTGTGTGGAGTCCGCAGAGCCTCCGACTGCCTCCAACTCCTCCTGGGCAGCATAAAGTAGATGGTCAATATTTATGGGAGCTGGCTGAGGTTTCTTGCACAAAGGCATTGTGTGGGGAGTGCGGGGCAGAGCTTGAAAAATCAGGCTTTTTACTGGAACACTGACTAATGGGGTTTTTAAACCTGTGACCTGTCCCCTTGTGTGTTTCCAGGAAAGCCCCTCCTGATCTCAGTAAACACAACTGCCCTAAAATAAACCTTTGAAAAATGTTACATTTTAAACAACAACAAAAAAAGGTAGTGGAAAACACTTGCAAAACTGGGTTGGTTTGGCTGCAAACAGCCCAAAGTGTTGCCAAATCCGTTCCCCATGTTAAAGTGGCAGTGATTTCCCCCCCTCAAAATGTTTTAAAGGCCAGCAAGGTCGGGTGTTACCTCTCAAGTGATGTGGTCGCATTTTTCTGGCTGGACATGCTTTTTCAAGATGTGATGATCGGTGGTCACCGACCCTCTGCGGTTGTGTCCCGGCAGGTCACGGATGCGCCGGGAGATGCTGGTGGAGGGCGCGCAGGACAATGACACGGACCCGGAGCAGAGCGGCGGAGCGACCATCCCTGGACGCCGGGCCCCCCACAGCCCCGATTCGGACGCAGAGGACCGTAAACCTGTGTTCAGGGGGGGTGAGCACCCCTGCGCCGCTGCACCCGTGAAGGTGAAGGAGGAGCAGGGGGAGGCGGGCGGCTGGGGCCGCCGGCGGGACTCACGCAGCCCGGCCGGGGCGGCTGAGGGGACCGGACCTCCCCAGGAGGAGCGGGGGGCAGCCCCCCACGCTGCCGCCCCCAGCACCGGCAGCCTCCCGCGGCGGGGGGGCCGTGCCGGTGCCACCACCGGGGGACCACCACCACCACCGCCACCGCACCCTGACAGCTCCCAGTCCTCCGCGGGTTCATCCCGTTGCAGCTTGGAGGTCTCCCCAACATCGCCCTCGGCGGCATCCTCACCTGGCCTCGCCGGCTCAGCCTCACCAGGGCCATCCTCTGCCGGGCCGGTCTCACCAGCGCTGCCTCCGGCTCCCGGCCCCCGGCTCAGCACCAGCGTCCAGCGGCGCCATGAAAAGATGGCCAACCTCAACAACATCATCCACCGCCTGGAGCGGGCTGCCAACCGCGAGGAGGCCCTCGAGTGGGAGTTCTGAGCGCCCCCCCCCGCCGCCCTAAATATATATATACACACCCACATATATATATATATTTTGTTAAATGCAGCACTCACCGAGAGGCGGCAGGCAGCCAGTGCCACGGAGGGGAGCGCCCATGGAAAGGGGGGGCCCCCGCTTACGAAGCTGCCCCCCCCAGCTTTGTTTTAAATGTGAAAAACTGGGAACAATTTTAGAAAAGAAAAGAAAAAACAAAAAATATTTATAGACCTCTTTTAGATATTTTAATAAAAGGATACTTTGGAATTTATTAACAGCTTAAGCTGCTTTGATATTAAAGATAGCTATAAAATCAAGATGATGTAGCAGTCGTGTCATTAAATGTACACTGAAGTCTTGTAGTTTGCCACTGGATGAGATTAAAAAAAAAACAAACAAAAAAAACCCACAGAAAAGACTTATTGAGCAAAGCCATCAAGAAGCACTATAAGACTGACCAAATTTAATAAACTTTTGCTGAGCGGTTTCCAACTCTGTCTGTAAGACACTGCATCGCTTCTGCCCCAGCCAGAGACTGCATCATAGTCCCTGAAGACTCTAAAGCGAAAAAACTTGATGCCATCGAGTATGTATTTAGTTCTGGTGGTTTATGTTTTTTGAAACCTTTGTAACACAGAATGTCCCGTGCAGTTGTATATGTTGTAGAAATGTCTGCAATAGCCTTCTGGAACAAGATGTAGCATGGTCCGAACGCCGTCCCTTGCGCTTCCTCCAGCTGGCAACCGGTGGCAGCCCCGATGCAGCACGGTGCGGCTCCTGCCAGCTCCTAAAGGAAGAGAAAAAATAATGCAAAAGCAAAGAAAGCAACTTGTGCTTGCAATTTTGGGAGCAAGATGGGAAGAGAGGTACCCAGGTGTGATGCTTGGGGATGGCTCCAGCTCGCTGGGGATGGACATCCATGTGATCCCGATTTCCCGCGCTCTGCCATCATCCATCTGGGAAAGAAAAACAGATGGAGCCTCCAAGCTCTGCCCCTGGGGCACCAGTGCTTGGGGATGAGCACCCAAAAATCATGACCCGCCGGCTCGCAGGGGCCTGAACCCTGCTCAGGGCTGCTCCCAGCATCACAGCCAACTCTTGCGGCTGAAGCACTTTTTTCAGGGGGAGCGCCTGGGCAGAAGGAGCATCCCCTCACCACAGCCATGTCCCCAGGCAGTGGCTGCCAGTGAAGCTGGGACAAGCCTTGGGGTATGGTGCCAAGCTCCTGCCTGAATTGGGCAAGCTCAGACCTGAATTGGGCAAAACACCATCGAGCTTTGGCTTTCCAGGGCTGACCCCATGCAAAGGCGCGGGAGCTCGGTGGTGGCACCATCCCGGCGTGCTCCCCACCGCCTCCCTGACCCCACCGCTGCCAGCCAGCCTCTGCTAACAAAATACCTTTAAATGACACAAGGTGGACTGGCTGGGCTGCTCTGCCCTGTCCCCTGCCCACACGGCATCAGCTATCACCCACCAAGGCCACCGCTGTCAGGAGGGCTGCCCTGCCAGGCTCCGAGGCTATGCATTGACTAATTTTCCACTGTATACATTTTTATCAGAATAGAAGGTATTTTTATATTTGGGTGGTAGTCAGTGAGCGATGCTAAAAGCGGCTCTGCGAAGGCACGGCTCTCCTTGCCCACCTACCCTGCCCCAGCGAGCCCCAGCTTGCCCACAGCTGCTCTTTTCCCTGCCACCATGCTGCAGAAGGTCGAGGCACGACCATTGACTGCTCTTCTCCATCATGTGCTAGTGGGAGCTTTAGTGGAACGGGATTCGAGGAAGCACTTAGGATAGTCTTGAACACAGCAATCCTGTTGTATTAAAGCTAGCGGGACATACCTGTCACGTTTTTGTTAGGCTCATGTACTGTACTTCAAAAGTTTCTATGAGATCGATGAACTTTGTTTAACAATTTTGGAAGGAACAAGTTCTGTAAAGAGCCACTAAATACAGAAGTTGGATACGACTCTGGCCTTGGGGTGTGTTTTGTCCATAGGTGGTTGGGACGGGCACCTGGGTTGATCTTGGCTCATTTCAAAGTCACAGCCTTGCTTTGGGTTTATGGCAAGAGCTCCCACTGCCATAAACATCTCCCAGTGACTGGGGGGAAGAAAAGAGGGTGTTAAATGGGGTTAGTCCAGCTCAGGGTGCAATCCTGCCCTGTGAAAGTCCTGTGCTCATCCCTGGTACAGGTTTGCTCCTGCTCCCGGAATAACTGAGCATCCTCTGGTGTGAGGTTCGGCTCGTCATTGCCCAATGGTGCCACACCCCGGCACGGCTCTTCTTCAGAGCCGGCCATCACCGGGCAAGTTTGCAGCTTCCAACAGGAGGCAGGGGTGTTTGCGTTTGATGAATTAATAAATCCATATGTTGCGTATCTGTTTAAGCTTGTTTGTCGGCTAACATGTTGGGAAGGATTTATTTTTAATGAATATCTGAACGTCTGGAGAAGCTGGGCCAGCTGCCATGGAAACCTGAATCTTCCTCTGCAGCCAACTGATGGGTCCACATTAACCATCTGGATGCTGCGGGTATAGCTGCACCCCAGCTGCCCTTGGTGACACCGCTCCGAATGCTGGAACACGTAGCAGGGTGCTGTGCCGGACCAGGAGCAGGTCTTCACACTCTGCAGTACTCTTGGCGAGTGAGTGACCCTGGCTGGCTTTGTGCCTCAGTTTCCCCAAGGAGCGTCCTCCCCCAACCCGCTGCAAGACCCGGCATTAGCAAGAAGCTGGAGATGTTCATGCAGGTGGGACATCGTGGGCAGGGACACGGGGTCAGGGTGGCCACTTCCACAAGGGCAGGGTCCCCAGTCCCTGTGTAGCACCGACACTGGCCCCAGCAAGGGGACAGATATTTTGTCCCTGGCTAAGATCCCTTGGCAGAGGGCTGGGGATGTCCCACCAAGGGCACAGGGCCACCCGACCAGGGGCACCCAAACCGGGGTGGCATCAGGTGGTGCTGCCTGTAACCCCAGGTTTGGAGGGATGGTTGTAACACCCCATCAAGCCTATAACACACCAGCAACTCGCACCAGGGCACCTAGTGCCATTTCCACCAGTGAAACTGTGGGAGGGTTGTGCTCCCAGTCAGTGTCCCAGCTCTTTTCCAATGCCCAAATCCCTGTGTTGGTCACCTGTGCCTGGCTGTTCAAGCTGTCACAGAGGGTAGAACCGTGCTGACCCTGCCGGGGGACCACCCGAGTGCTGTGTGTCCTGGTGTCCCCAGGGTGGCACCATCTCATCTCATCATCTCATCTCATCTCATCATCTCATCTCATCTCATCCCTGTGGGCAGATGTGGGGCTCCACGGCACTGCGAGACCCTGGCATTGGCTGTGTCCCATTTGGGCGATACCATCTCTGCCCGGTCTCACGGACATGGTGGGGACAGGAGGAAGATTAAAATGGAGGATTAATTCCCACCTGGGCCCCCTCCCCAGGGGCTTAAAGGCGCAAATGAGAACCCAGGCCAGGACAGAATTTCTGAAACAACTTTTATTGTAGCAAAATCTTGTGCCCGTCCCAAGGGGGCAAAGGGAGCTGGAGCCACCCAGCCCAAACCCGGGGCACCCTGACTGTTCCTCCCCACTTCTGGCCAACAGCTTTAGTGTCGATATAAACCGTTGGGGAAATAAAAGAGCAACACCGGCATGAGACACCGGCTTCACTCTGGTTCAGCACATGAATCATTCGACACCCTCCGTTGCTGACACATACATTCCTGTTTGCCACCACAAGTGATGCTTCCCCTTAGCAAGCTGGCCTGGGGATGATGCCCTGCCCCAAAATATCTACCCAGCAAGGCAATGCCCGCAGCCGCTGCGTTCCTCTCGGGTCTGCCCCCCCTCCACGCATTCACCAGCCGGGCTGCAAGCAGCGATCGTCCCATGCAAAATGTCCGGGGCTGGATGTCACCAGCTCCCCAGGCAGCCAGGGCGCATGGTGCTGCTGCCATTAAGGAAGGGCTGCACTCACTGATATTTTCATTTTCAAACCACATCCTGCTGGAGCAGAGGGATCTGGCAGAGCTCAGCCGACCTCAGCCAGTCACTTGTGCCAAGCAGGGAGAGGAAGGCGGTGCAGGCTCCCCAGCTGTGAAACACTCACGTGGGGGCTTAGGGTGGGGGGTGAGATCCCATCAAAATCCTCCTCCAAAAGCATTGTCGGTGCATCATCCCACTGCAAGAGCATCAAGAGGCCCCACCAGACCCGGAGCAGTGGTCGATTCCCAGGAGGCATCAGTCAGCAAGTGGTTCGTAGCTTGCTTGCACTGGGTGGACCACCCTGCACCCACACCCGGGCATGACCGGTGGGGTGCACCCGCTGCCTGGCACGAGATGCCCGAGAGCCTGGCAGCCCCAAAAGCCCACAGGTTTCACACTTGGCTGGCGGCACACTGAGCCCAGCTGCCATCGGTGCCGGGCTGGCATTTCGCCATCACGGAGCAGCACTGCTGTCCCTCCGTGTTGGGCCCTTGGTGGCACCATCAGCAGGTGTCCATCACTGCCACAGAGAGGGCTGCACATCCCAGGGTGAGGAGGGGACCGAGGCAGCACCGAGGATGATCACCTCCTCCTGGCCACAGGTCCTGGTGGGTCCCCAGGGCTCGGCTGCCTCTCAGGGCCGGGGGCCACGCCGCCTCTCCAGCCAGTCCTGCCGCAGCCGGGCCACCTCCTGGCCGTACCGCTCGTGGAGCCGGCAGAAGATGGATGGGCTCTCCGCTGCAGCCGCCCCGGTGCCGCCTGCCTCGCTGCTTGATGCCCGCCTGCGCGGCGGCAGTGGTGGCAGCCGCGGGTTCCCCTCGCTATCGTGCCCGCTGCAGCCAGAGGTGTTGGGTGGCAGGTCTGCTCCCAGCGCGTTGTTCCACACTGCACAACCGTTCTCCTTCGGCATGACAGTGGGCAGAGCCGGCAGCCGCTCCGGCCACGGCTCTGGCCCTGAAGGCTTTGGCTTCCAGGAGCTGGGTGACCCCCGGCAGCCCCCGCATCCACCGGCCGGCCCCCAGCGCATCTCCTCCAGCTGCTTCTCCAGCTCTCGCACCACCAGGCGCATGTAGTCGAAACTGGCTCGTGAGAGCGACTTCACCCACGACTCCATGGCGGCCTGGCTCTCAGCCGCCAGCACGTAGGTACGAGACTTGGTGCCACCGAAGCGGATGGCGAACGCGAATTCCTCAGCTGAATCGCAGAGCTCCACGGTGCAACCCTCCAGCACGATGACGCCCACTGGCTCCCGGCTCTCCCGCTCCTCAAAGTAAAAGAGCATGTTGCCCTTCAGCACGAACCAGCGGCGATGGTACGCCGTGTGCCGCTCGCCGCGCTTGTAGAGGAAGCCGGCGTTGTCGGCCGGGGAGTCGCAGGTGGCATAAAAGGCCAGGCTTCGCTCGTTCAGCTTCATGGCTCCACACCCTGTGGGGACAGAGGGTGCTCAGCCACCCGCCAGCACACGGAGGATGGGTGCACCTTAATTGTACGGTAATAAGCCGTTGGCTTTTTGTTCTCGGCGGCACTGGTCTTGGCACCCAGGAAATGAAGCCAGTGAATAAACAGCCCCGTGATAGCCGGGCATAACCCCGCTCCCAGCCAAGGTGCTGCGTCCGGTGGGTGCTGGGTGGGTTGGGGCTCCCCGGGAAGGGGGTTTTGCCCCAGCTGAGTGTTTTCCTACAGAGGAGCCCCAAGCAGGGCTCATCCCAGCGCCCCACGTCACCCGGCACAGGTGACCTTACCGCCGGCGCTGCGTTCGCCCTGTGTCGCAGCGCTCCTCCCCGCGGCATACAGGGAGGGTTTATGGCCTGCGCCGCAGATCCGGCTGCCGCTCCGGAGAGCCGTGGCCATGAACCCTGGCACCTGGGCAAGGCCACCTCTCCCCTTGCCCCCTACTCACCAGTGGTCTCCTGTGCCAGGCTTTCTGCCTGCCTGCACTCTGCCTCTAGCTCCGGTCTCCGGTGGCTGCCAGCATCAGCGATGCATGGGTGGCCGTGGGGGCCGTGGGATCCCTGGGGCTGGGGTCGGGTGGTGTAAGGGGGCCCTGGGGGCTGGCACCCCGATGTCCCCACTCCGGCCGCTGGCTCTGGCACCAAAACGCCTGCGGGTTTCACGCGTCACCCCAGCCTGCAGAGCACAAGGCGGACGTGGGCCAGGATTATTATTTTTCTATTAAGACACAGCGCAGGGTTCAAGGAGATGAGATGGGGGCTCTCGGGGCGCCCCTGGCCGGGGGGGGGACGGACACAGGACAGCAGGGACCCCTTTCTCCCAGGCAGCTCGGGGACCTCTTTGGGGTGCCCAAAGTCTTGGGGACGTTTGGGAGCGGGGGAGCCGCCCTCCCCCCGGCACCGGCCGACCCCGCGCCGGGTGGGCTCCCGCCCGCTCAGCCCCGCACCGCTGCGCC